CAAATCCATAACGTGTCACCCAATTTTCCAAACATCATGTTAGGTCAAAATGAAGCTCTACACTCAAAACTATTCACTCTTGCTGAAAAACCAAACTTTGCCCACAGACATCACACACAAGGCCTCAAAAACACACACACTACAACATAGTTCTACACATCGCTGCAACAAATATTAAACAATATTCCCAAAACTGGCAAGTTATGTTGCTTGTGGTTCTTCCCTTCAATAACCTTTCACATGATGAACACAAATCACGTAACCAATGTACATACAGTGGCACATTTTTATTCATGTACCATACAGTACAACACACATCAAAAACATTATTCCACCTCAGCATCCCGTCTGTGATCTGAGTCAGGCTAGAGAATCTCATCCACATCACAGGCTGTATTGGTCCTGGCCAGGCAGCGGGGTTAAAATCCTCTTGCATGCCTGATTCACCCCTGACATGCATCTACTGATATGTCTATGCAGGCTTCTTCCATGACCTGGAGGAGGTGCACACGGACATAAGGTTCTCTATCGTACACCTTCCACCGCCAAGTCAAAAATAACTCCTCTATCGGGTTTAGAAAGGCTGAATATGCAGGCAGAAAGATATTAGAAAACCTTGGGTTATTGGTAATCCAGTCATGAACCACAGCAGCGCGATGGAAGCTGACGTTATCCCACACAACAACGTAGTGAGGCTGTCTGGCTGTGCTGGTTCCCTATAGTCCCGCTGGATCATATGTTGTCTCAGACCATCAATAAAAGCAAGGAGAAGCATAGTGTTATAGAGTCCTAGAATGGCATGGAGGTGGAGCATCCCTCGTTGGCTGATGGCTGCACACAGAGTGACATTCCCTCCACGCTGACCAGGGACATTTAGACAGGCCTCTTCCCTTCCTGTTTTTAAGTCACTCCTGAAAACTCACCTCATTACCCTGACCTTTGACACCACGTGACATGTTGGTTTTTATTTTTTTTTAGTTTTATTTCAGTTGTTTTAGTTGTTTCTATGCTGTTTTATCTTGTTTTCTTTTCTTTTTTTTCTTTTTTTTACAGTTTTTCCCAATTGTTTACACAATTTTCCTGAAAGCATCCTTCATATTGTCAGAACTCTACACACAAATAAAAAAAACGTAATGTAAAACACTGTGGCCACTTCTTCTCCAGTCATCCTAATGAGTTACTGGAAACCTTTTCTGTTCAATGTTACACTTATGAAGACAGGACATAGGCCTACATAAGTGCATTGTGAAAGATTTCAGAATGTTTGTATACAAAACAGACAAATACACGGTACCAAATATATTTTACTATATTTTTCCCACTAAATCAATGTACACAATGTTCATCTCAACCAACACAAAGTTGCACATACCATGGTCTACATATACAAACAACAGAAGAATTTACTGAATACATTTACAGTCGAAACAAAACAAAAAGACTGCATCCTCTCTTCTGTTTCCATCTGGCCACAGCACACAAGCAACTGATCAGCAGGGCAAATGTTGCCTAGCAGGACAAATCCAGCCATGAATAGCATCAACTGCTAAATCTCCACATGTGTCTTCCATATTTTGGGGCAGGGGTATATGTGTGTGTGGATTTTGGTCATACACTTTCCATCTCCAGACAAAAAAAGATTCTTTATAATAGGATTGAGGAATGGAGAATATGGGGGGAGATAAACAACTAAAAAGCGTGGCTGGACAGTGAACGAGTGACGGACTCTGAAACACACATGATAAGTAATACAGACTTGGAGTGGTCTCTATTGTGAAGCATAATCAGAGTACGATTACTGTACAGTACTATAATTTATACAGTGTTGAGAGTTTGCATCAATTGTGGGATTGTGTGGGACTTATGTGCACATAGTTGTTTTGTAATTCTTTGACTCTTTCTGAATTGCATTCTAATGGCGCCCTCTAGAGCTGCTTCATCCTCAGATTATTTCTGTACAAGAAATGATCCACTGTTGATTAGCTGACCCTATCAATATTTTGAAATATGTTGAAATATGAAAGATGTTCCCGACAACCTCGTGTTGGTAAACTTTCAGCTCTGCAATACAAATAGTATATTGTAAAATACTGTGAATAGAAATCCTGTGCGGGAATACAAAGTAGGAATACATTTCCCAAATTTCCCAAAAATTGTGTGTAGTGTTTTGAAAATAGTGTTTTAAAACTGCAATTTGAGTGTAAAGCAGGAATTGTGCTTCTGGTTTAGCAGAATTGGTTCAGGGAGTCGGTGGATCAGTTACATGTTGTAGTCATTGTGTCTGAAGTACAAGTAATTGTGTGTAAACAACTGGGAAAAACTGTAATATAGGGCTGTTTTAATCTTTATGTATTATGTGTTTTATTTATTTATTTGGCTGTTTTCTGTTATTCTATTGTTTTTAAATTATTTTCTGCACAGCTCTTTGGTCCTGTACTGGGTATTTTAAAGGGCTTTATAAATAAAATTGGATTGGATTTAGAAAACCTCAATGTCCATTTATGTTCCTCCACCTCCTCCACGCTGGTGTCCTAGACCTCCTTCCTCTCCCTCCACCTCTTCCTTTGCATGTCTTTGGAACCATTATTTCAAAGCTGACTTTGGCTGTTTTGTCTCTCCATCAAAGTTTCAGATTGGTGTGTGATACGATTTGACTCCCAGTGTTTCCACTTCATTAATTGTGCTAATTTAGCTGAAGCTGTGCTGATGTGAGTTAACATTATTAACTGCTAGTGCTTTCTAAGTGACCACATGGCGTCAGCACTGAAAAATTTAGATATTTGTGTGTAGAAATTTGCAGTAACAATTCATCACATCTGACTCATGTGGTAAAGCAGGAGCATAGCGTTTATAGTTCATGGAAATGGGTGTTCATTTTGGAAAGTGGCATTATGGTTTCGAAATTCGGTTCACAACACTGGTTAAACAATCGATAAAAACTGTAATAAACAAACTGATTAGAGAGAAATACCAGGTGACTCAAGACTTTTGCACAGTAATGTCTGACTTACAGTGATTTTTCTGGGAAGAGCTCTGTGTGAGGAAGTGTTGTAGATCTACACCTGTGTGTGTGGATTGTGATTATTGATGTGTAGCTGGGCCCAACATGCAGTGAACACACCAGTCAAACAAACTGAAGGTCAAAAGAGCTCGAGCACAGATCAAATCAAAATCAAATCAAAAATATTTATATAGCACATTTAAAGACCGAAGTACACCAAAGTGCTTTCCAGTAAAACCATGATACAGAGAAAATCACAATATAAAATATATAATAATTACATAATCTAAATGCAGAGCCAGATGTAAATCACACTAATTAGCCTCAAATGAAGACTTAAAACAGAAGAGAAGAAAAGAAAATCTAAACATTACACAAAGAAAATAAAAGAACTAAACTCTATAAATTCTAAAAATGTCTTCTTTTCTTCTGGCACTCAGTACAACAATTGATGTTCCTTCGGGTGGAAGACAGCTTTTGAAACAAAATAAAGCATGGATGATTTTTATGGAACGCCAGGACTGCCATAATGAATTAATTAAATATACCATTAAATAATTAATTAAATGTGTCAATAATTAATTAAATGTGTCAATAATTAATTAAAATTGGAATTAATTAATTAAATATGTAGTTATGACACATGCAATTAATTAATTATTGACACATTTAATTAATTATTGACACATTTAATTGATTATTTAATGATATATTTATTTATTTCATTTTGGCAGTCTCTGATGACCTCTCCTGGACTGCAAATACCACGGCGGTGGTAAAAAAGGCCCAGCAGCGTCTCCACTTTCTGAAAGTGCTCAGGAGGAACAACCTGGAGGAGAGGCTGCTGGTGACATTTTACAGAGCCACCATAGAGAGCATCCTAACGTACGGCATAACAACATGGTATGCAGGGTGCTCAGCTGCAGACAGGAAAGTACTGCAGAGGGTCATCAACACAGCCCAGAAGATCACTGGCTGCTCTCTGCCCAGCCTGGAGGTCACTGCAAACTCTCGGTACCTCAGCAGAGCTGGCAATATCATCAAGGACCACTCTCACCCCAGCAACCAACTGTTTGAACTATTACCATCAGGCCGACGGTACAGGTCACATAAAACCAGGACAAACAGATTCAGGGATAGCTTCTTTCCCAGAGCTATCACCGTAGTAAATAAGCACAAAAACAACTGAACCTATTCCATACTGTCACTGTCATTATATTATGCTGCTATCCTGTATATATTCTACATACTATTGTTTGAGTACTTACGATTGTTTTTTTGTACTTTTTATATTTTACATTTATATTTATTATTGAAACTTGCACCAAGGGAGTGGCACTCCAATTTCATTGCACTCTGTACAATGACAATAAAGGCTATTCTATTCTAAACTACAGATAAGTGTGTTCAGCCCAACTAGTTTATCTCATTACAGCAGTTTGATGTTTCCCTTTGAATCCCCCTGAAGATCCTGACAGTGAAGCACGTACATAATACTCCAGCCTTTCAACTCTGAGCTTATTTAGTTCTATTAATACACTGAAATCTCATTTGTGTCATGAAGAAAGTCTTTAATCAAACAGAATTCAAAGATCAGAAACATTTCATATATGGAGTTAAACATGAATCATTGTTTCAACAACATATTTATTGTTGTCATAAACAGACAAGAAGACAACAACAAACTGCTCCTCCCATTCAACACATGTCAGTCCATATCCCAGCAAACTAAATCATCTCCATTTACACATCAAATAGAAACATGAATCACTTGTAATGATTAGAAACTTGATAGAATTTCAAATATATTTTGGGGAGTCATTCAGTGAGAAACAGTGAAATGATTTTCCATGTGAAAAGGTGGACAGCAGAAACAGAAAGAAACAGTGAAACTAAAAGAGAAACAAAGAGCTTTGGAACAACGAGGCAGCAGGAGGACAGCTGCAGTTTAACAGCTTCAACTCACTGACAGGAAACAACATTAGAAATATCATCATTCTCAACTCATCTGCTGCACTGACACTGACACCTTCAACGGCAACACCTTCACTTTATCACCAGTGCTAATGTATGGAAACATCCTGTGAGTGAAAGTGTGTGTGAAGGTGTGTATGTGTGTGTTAGTATCAGGATCAGAGAACGACAGCTTTCCTCTGTTCCAGTCCAGATTCACTCTGATCCTCTGGAGCTTCTTCTGGACTGGGAGAACAGTGAAAGGAGTTGATGGTGAGAGTGTGTAGTACATACCTAAACTGCACACTATTCCCCATAATCCAGACTGTATGCGTCCCTTCCTCTGCACAGACTCTGCTAACACACCCAGTTCCCACCCTGTACTGTCTCCTACATCAACATCCCAGCTGTGACTCCCTGAGTTAAAGCCCTCAGAGCCCAGGACAGAGCAGAACAAATCAAACCTCTCTGGATTATCAGGAAGCTGCTGCCTCTCTCCTCCTCGTCTCACACTGGTCAGATCTTCAGACAGGATGAGGTTTGGATCAGCAGTGTTTGGGTCCAGAATAAGAGGAGTGTAGGAGACCACGTCCTTCATGTTGTTCCAGATGTTGAAGGTCAGGTTGCCCAGGTGTTTGGCCTGGTCTATCAGAGCTCCTGAGGGCAGCTGTGGATCATCCAGCAGGGGGCAGCGCTGGACTCTTTCCACTGCAGCCTTGTAGTTGTGCAGGAATGAGACGTCTTCAGCTCTCAGCTCCTCCTCTGTGGCTCTGACTGTGTCTGAAAGAGCTGCTATCTCTCTGCTCAGAGCCTCCATCATCGCACTCTTCTGCTCCTCTTCCTCCCTCAGTGCAGCCAGCCTGGCCTCCTCTTCCTCTGCTAGAAACTGGTGAAGCTTCTTAAACTGCTCCTTAATCTGCCTCTCTGTGTGTCGGGCCTGGACCTTAATGTGTTCTGCTGTTTGATCAAACTTCACTTGAACTCGTTTGCAAACCTTTAACTTCTCCTTTAAGGGCTCCAGAGTTTCCTGAAGTTCCTTCTTGTGTTGTTGTGCAGCTTCATCAATGGGTCTGAATCTGTGATTGGTGTGTTTTTCTGAGTCTCTGCAGACGACACACACTGGCTGCTGATGGTCCAGACAGAAGAGTTTGAGTTTCTCAGAGTGCAGACTGCAGAGATCCTCTGAAGCTCTCTCCTGTAAGAACGACTCACACAGGTTCTTTAAAGCTCGGTTTAAAGGTGGATGCTTCTTTGAAGATATTTCCTTACAAACTGGACACTCACGTTCCCCTTTCTCTCTCCACCATCTCTTCAGACAGTCTTTACAGAAGCTGTGGCTACATGACAGAAGAACAGGATCTCTGAAGACCTGCTGACAGATCGTACAGCAGAGATCCTCCTCTGATCTGGAAGCCATTGAGTCTGTGAGTGAAGCTGAAAACAGCAGACAGGAAGTACAGGCAGTCCTGGCTCCCCTCCCTCCTCTACCACCTTCACTGAAACTTCCTTTGAGTCGTGTTTTTGCTCAAACTCACATTCAGTGTGTGGAGCGTCAGCAGCTTGAAGCAGCAGTGTTGGAGTTTTCCACTTTTCTCTCCTGTAGCTGGACTCACTCAGAGGAAGTTGCTAGTTTGGTCTGAGCTCAGTCTGATCGTCTGTGCGTCTCTCTGCACTGAAGAAGAAAAACAGCCAGTTTCTTCTTCTTCTTTCTTACAGTTGTACTAGCGGTTGGCAAACAATTGAAAGGTGCATTACCGCCACCAAGTGGTATGGAGTATGGTCTGGAACGACGCTCGAAAAAAAAAAGCCAGTTTCCTGGTTTGTTGCGTGTTAAACACGTGGGGGGCGGAGCTTCATTCAACTTCCTCTTATAAATGTGTGAGTGTGACAGCAGAGCGCAGACTGTCACCGCAGGTCAAAAAGTAAACATTTTTATGAAGTTCAGAAAATAAAATATGACTCAGTGTTGCAGCTGTTTGAAGTTTTTCTTTCAAACTTTCTTCTGATTATTAGAAGGGCTCGCCCCGCCCGCAGACTGTGGACCAATAGGAGAGCTGGCAAACTGTAGACTACCTATCGTCTGTCGACGGAAGTTGCGTCACCAGAAAACAACAACGGCACCTCCGCTATGTTTGAAAAGTCGCTTTTCTTTTATCTTTACAGTAAGTTATCGACTTTAAGATATAAGCTGGAGGAAATAGACATGAAAGAAAATATTATATGGTGTGGGCATTTTAATGCACACCATTCGTTATGGGTGAGTGAGAAAACAGACTACAATGGTAAAGGAAGATAAGATAAGATAAAACTTTATTAATCCCTCGGTTGGGTTCCTCTGGGAAATTTGGTTTCCAAAAGCACAGCACCGACAGAAGTTACAGAGCGTGAGCAGAATATTATATATATATACACATATATAAATACAGAGACATATATAAATAAAATATACAAAGAGGATAAACAGAATAAATAGGAATAAAAATACAAGTGAATTGCACATTTCAAGTATTGAGGTCTATTGCACTGTTGATTATTAACAAAAGTATTGCACAACAATTATTGCACAGTGAAGTGAAGAGGAACTACAGCTTAGTTGTTCCCCCCTCCTTTGTCCTCCTGTCTCCCCTCCCTCTCCCCTCCAGAGAGGAGTTAAACAGTCTGATGGCGTGTGGGACAAAGGAGTTTTTAAGTCTGTTAGTTCTTATCTTTGGGAGAAGCAACCTGTCACTGAACAGACTCTTCTGGTTGTTTATGGCCGTGTGCAGAGGATGCCCAGCATTGTTCATAATGCATAGAAAAGTACTCCAGCAACCACTGAACTGCGTATAAAGTAAAGGCTTTAAAACAAAGTAAACGCTGAAAGTACAAACATCGCTAATGTCACATAACTTTGCCGGCATGTGGCCAACAGTAATGTTTTAATGTTCTTGTTACGACCCGGCTCAAAAGCCGCAACATAAAAAAAAGGAGATGAATAACAGAGTGTGGGTGAGAAGAGGTGTCATCCTAAAATGGAAAACCAGGTTGGCTAAAATGGCTGGTGCCACCAAGGCAAAGACTAGTGCACTGCTGGAAAGCTTGCATTATTAAACATTTGCGATTAAGTGACCTTAAATGAATGCCGTCTTTTTAATTCTGCTCCGGACTCGTGAATCTCAACCCAGCAGCAGTGGTAACGTTTGCACGTCCTTTCCCGTTAATGCGGCAGGTAAATAATCAACTGATAGTGCTAATAATACTAATAATAATAATAATAAGGGGCAGTATTATGTTAGCGCGACCTGCCTTATTACACAACCTGCCATTACTGTGCATTTAGGTGACCATGATGAGAGAGACAGACAGAGTCTGGCTCAGATGCTGGCAGTTTTCGCTGCAGTCTACCGGTAGAGTCTCCTTTCAGGCCAGGATGTCACCGAGCAGTGACTAAGTTTGTGGTAAAAGGCATTTGCCACAGCAGATGCCCCCGATTTCCGGTAAGTGAATGTGTTTAATTGTAGGCAGGGAGATTACTGGATATTCTTGTGTAATTGCTACAGAATAATTTATGTTATACTTTGTTATTGCTACAGAAGAATATTTATTTTATTATTTTACATATACATTTTTTTTCCTGGGGACCCTGTGACACCCCATTGAAGAGCCGTAGGCTGTGGATCTCTTAAGATCTCACTGTTGGGTTTGTAAGGCCATGTTACTCCTAAATTTCTATCTCGTTCAAAGAGAAGATATAAAACAAAGTTCTAAGCTAATCAACCTTAGTGTTCTCCTTTTTCAAAAGAATCAATAAAGAATCGAATCGTTAAACAGAATCGAAAATGGAATCTGAATTGTGAAAATCTTATCAATACCCATCCCTAGTGCTTACTTTTGAAAGTTTACTCTTTGGCCGCCCCGCTTCCACTTCTTTGAAGTGTCTCCCAGTCCCAGTGCACTTGTTAGCATGTTTTGGTTCATGCAACTGGTCCGTCGGGTTATTTTCTCCCCAGAAACATTTCCATTGTGTCTTGTGTGCTTTTGCAGCATTTTCCTTTTTGCAGCGTTTTTCTTTTTGCAAGTGTTTTTCTTTTTCTGGGGCTCAGTCACTCAGGCACAGCTGGCTGCCGGCGGAGCTCACGGGCGCGTCACTACAACTCCCCCTGGCTTCTGCTCCGCGGCTGCTGAGTGAGCCCTCATCTGGGACTCTCCTCAGCTCTTTCTGGGACAGTGGCGCGGCTGCCCCTCTGTTGGTCTTCCTTGGTCTCTTGTGTTCTGGGGGCCTCTGGATGTCTGGAGTTTTGATCTCCTCCATACCTGCTTCATACCCTGGAGGACGGGGCTGTGGCCCCCCCCCACCCCACCCACACACACCCTCTAGCAGATCATTACATGAAGGAACCTTTTAAAAACAAGCGCGTCCATGCTCACAGGTGTACACACGGGTGATCACACCCACAAACTACACCCTTTTTGGCTCCTACCTCAAAGCACACTGTGTTCTGTTGATCTTATGTGCTGCACAATAATGTTTAATATTTAGTATTTACTGTCATATTCCCATATATCATTGTGATGTTGTTTATTCTATTACTCTTGTTCTCTTCTGCTTGTTCTCTTTTTTCTTTCTCAACAGGTGATCCAGGTGATTGATATATGCATTTTTTTTTCTCTGCCCATTCTGTTGGTTTTTGTTTTTTGCCCTTCTCCCCCGTCCCTCTTCTCAGCTGTTTCTCTTTCCCTCTTTCTTTCTCCCCTTCTTTCCCCCAGTCAAGTCTGTCCCGTATTCAGCAAGTGAAAATAAAATAAACAATAAAAGGTGAATCAAATGGACCATTATGGCAAGGCTGGGATGGTCAATTTGGTAAAGAAAATCCGTTGGGCATCTTTCTTTGCCTTTAGACAATAATTCTGATGGCAAAAGAGCCAAACGGGACAGGCAAAAAAGAAAAAAGTGTTTTTCTTTTTGCAGGTGTTTTTCTTTTTGCAGCGTTTTTCTTTTTGCAAGTGTTTTCTGAAGTTGCAGTCCGTTTGCCTCTCAGGGCCACCGTAGGAATGCAGTGTGGCATGATTAAAGTCTCCAGATATAATAATGAAAGTGTTAGAATTTCTGCTTGTATGTTTATATGTTTATGTTTAAAATCTTATATATTTAAACGACGGGAAGAAGACAAGAATTTATATTAGCTCTGGCAAGGATTCCATATTAGATTTAACTTTTGCTTCTAGTTCTTTAGCACCATTATGTGAGTGGCAAGTAAAGAATAAGCTTTTTGGTAGTGATCATTATCTGGTAGTAAGGATTGGTCAAATACAGGTACCTGAAGCATTTGGAGGGAAGTGGGTGTTTGGGAAGGCAAATTGGGGGAAATTTAGTAGGTTGTGTGAGAGGAAGCTTTTAGAGGTTCGTAATCATTTGAGTGTTGAAAGAATGAATCAAGAACTTAGTCAAAGTATTTTAAGCTCTGTTGAGGAGGCTTTTTCAAAGACATCAGGAAAAGTTAGGGGGAGATCAGTTCCACGGTGGAATGATGAATGTAACCTAGTAGTTAGAAAAAGAAATGGCGCATTTAAGTTGGTCAAGCGGGATCATAATTTTCAACATTTAATTGACTACAAAAAAGCACAGCCAAAAGTCAGAAGTACAGTAAGAAGAACAAAGAACGTATTGGAGAGATTTCTTTAATACAATTGGCAGTAGGCCTAATATTCAAATAGGGGAGGTTTGGAGGATGATCAGGAAAATGGGGGGAGACAAAAGAGAATGGAGTTATCCAATAGTTGATAAGAATAATCAAGTAGCTGTAACTGATAGGGGAAAAGCTGATTTATTGGCAATTACTTTTGTTGATATACATAGTGGGAGAAATTTATCAGATGAGAGTAAACGAGGAAGAGAGAGGACTAAAGGATACAATTTTGAAGCTTTAGGGAGGAAGGAGAGTACTGAAGATGTAATGAGTTGTCCCTTTTCTATTGGAGAACTAAAAAAAGAGCTCTGGGTAGAACCAGGAGTACAGGGAGTGCAGAATTATTAGTCAGATGAGTATTTTGTCCACATCATCCTCTTCATGCATGTTGTCTTACTCCAAGCTGTATAGGCTCGAAAGCCTGCTACCAATTAAGCATATTAGGTGATGTGCATCTCTGTAATGAGAAGGGGTGTGGTCTAATGACATCAACACCCTATATCAGGTGTGCATAATTATTAGGCAACTTCCTTTCCTTTGGCAATTCTTTTTATATATATATATATATATATATATATATATTTTTTTTTTAAAATACTAAAAGGATCAATATCTGTGGTGCCTACTGATACAGAAAAAAATTAAAACAAAAAACAAAACCATCGACAGCCGCAACAGTCAGTCTGTCGACTTACACCAGTTTAAAACAAATTAAAACACACTGATGTGTCGGGTCCTTTGGCCGCAGCCAGAAATCCACCTGGCAAAGCAGCAGCTCGGTACTCTGTGAATAAAAGGCAGGAGATCACTAGCTGGACAATAAAACACAGGAATATTCCTCAACGGAATTGGTTTTGTTACCTGTCCACACGTTCGTGTCACACCCTAATAAATGTGGGTCAGTGGCGATGAAGTCCACTATACCGTTCTCACGGGAGCAATGTTTCCCAC